TAGCATGTGGTGCCCGGGATCAAACCATGGTCCCTGCGCTTTGCCTAACCTTGCCTAAGCAGGTGCTTTAGACAGCTGAGCTATCTCACAGGCCTCAGTATTTCTCATGAGTGCATGTAAATTTGTAATTAAAAGAAATGAAAACTAAACAAAAAAAGAGGATATAAAGGACCATTTTGTATCTATATATAAAATAGGATAAATATACAGCTACTTTCTCTTAATTCAATGAGAAGAAAGATTTGTACTAATAGTGTTTGGACAGAATATCATGTCTACATTTTATACTATGAATAACCATTACGAAGACAACAATATGCAATGTATTAATTATTGAAACTGTCCTACTAATCAGTTTTGAAACTGTCTCATTGCTATTCCTTTCTCAATACAATTAATAAAAAATTAAAGTTTTGCCAGATTATATAATAACTATGCAAATATTCCCTCAACCAGATAATAATATTCTCATAAAGGTTTAGGAGAGAACTATTATAAAATAAAATGTGGAAGAAATAAAGACCATTTAATTGTAAAAAAAAAAAAAAAAATGCATCTGGCGAGCACAAGGGCCTGAGTTCAATCCCCAATTCCACCAAAAAAAAATTGCATTCTTAGTTGCAAGAAATTGTAAATCTTGGGAAAACTAGGATTTCCACAAATTCATGAAGTGATGTCAAAGATCACTTGGTAATAAGACAATTACGGAGGTTGGTGGCATGTAAGATGCTTCCAAAAAGTTGATTTGAATATCAAAAGATGAAGAAAAGCCCTTTGAAAACAGTAAAACCCTCAGTTGCTGGGCCTGCTGTCCCAGCCCCACCCCCAGGGCAGTTTAGAGGGTGGTTGAGACTTGCTGGTGGCACATGCCTGTAATCCCAGCTCTTGGGAGGCTGTAAACAGGTAGATCACTATGAGTCCAATCTAGTAGTGAGACCCTGAACACCCTGTAGACCTTCCCTAAAACACACACACACACACACACACACACACACACAAAGCCTCAGTTAATTTTATCACAGTTTATGACATACTGTGAAGACCAAAATTTTAAGTTTTTTGTTTATTCTGATTGTTAGCTTGATATAATAACCTGAATTTGGCTAAAAATAAATGTATCTTTTATTAAGTTGGTTTTGTTTGTTTGTTTGGTTGTTTTTTTTTGTCTTTTTGTAGACAGGGTCTTGTTATGCTGTTCGGGCTGGCCCCTAGCTTACTTTGTAGTTCAGGCTGGTTTTGAACTGGCAAGTATCCTCCTGCCTCAGGGGTGTGCCACCAAGCCCAGCTCCATTTTGTTTTTCTTTAAGATAAAGTCCCATAGCTACTCTTCATAATGCTGCAACTTCATAAGATCTTTATATATAATTACATCCACACATCAGTAATTTTTCTGCAAGGTAAGTACCCATAAGTAGTTACCGTATTGAAAATTACACAGTTTGCTAAGGATTTTCTGTGTATGCCTGAGTGCTCCTCTATAAAGATTTTGTCAATTTATTTTTTTCATCACCAGTATATGAGAATGTTGCCTCTATACCTGTACTTTTTACCTTTTTGAAAAATCATCTTCCAGTTTGATTGGCAAAAATGTTATCTTGTATTAATTTACTGTTCTCTGGGGGCCTGGCCATAGCTCAGTTCTTTAAGTGGCTGCTTCCACAAAGCTGTGAGCCTCAGGTTGCTGTAGTTCGACTCCCACAACACTCCAGCCAGACAAACCATGCCTGAGGGCATTCAGAGCAAAAAAAAAAAAAACCCTTAATTTACTGTTCTCTTCTAGGTTAATTGATTTTGTTTTTGAAACAGGATCTTTCTGTGTAGTTTAGACTAGCTTTGGACTCACTTTGTGATCCAAGCTGGCCTTGAACTTGTGGTGATCCTCCTGTCTCAGCTTCCCAATGCTGGGATTAAAGGATGCGCAACTCCAGCCTCTTCTAGATTTTTTTTGAGGCCTTGCAAAAGACAAGGCTTAAAAAAAATGGTTTAAGACTCAGAGTTGTTGCTCTCCACTGAAATCTTTAGTAAAAGGTGAAAGATTTATATAATCTGAAGAGAAACCAGAATATTATTCTAGGTTTTTAATGAGGCTGAATACTTTTTCATATTTGTAAGTGGTCCTTTTTCTTTGGAAATATTTTTCCTTTAGGAATTGCATGGTCTGAACTGCGTCTAGAGGAAATATAAGGCTTGAATAGTAAAGTACTGTTTAGTAATTTAAGTAAGTTCTGGGCAGTTGTTTCTTTGCTTAGAAACAAAATTATAATATTAATTATTCATTTTAATTTTCTGTAAATAAGCTTTGTTCCAAACTTCCTGTAGCCTGTTGCTAAATTTGATTTAGCCTGTTGTGATTGATTTACATTCAGTCTGAAATTGTAACTAAGTTGCTGACTCTTTTGTTTCTTTTAGGCAGATCGTGTTTGGACTACCAGACTCAAGAGACCAAATCAAGTCTTTCAAAAACCCTTGAGCAGGTCTTGCATGACACTGTTGTCCTCCCATATTTCATTCAATTCATGGAACTTCGGAGAATGGAACACTTGGTTAAATTTTGGTTAGAGGCTGAGAGTTTTCACTCTACAACCTGGTCCCGAATAAGAGCGCACAGTCTGAACACAGTGAAGCAGAGCTCACTGGCTGAGCCTGTCTCCCCCTCTAAAAAGCATGAAGCTACAGCATCTATTATAACCGAGTCCCTTGACAAGAGATTAGAAGATTCTTGTCCAGTCCAATTGCTTATGACTCATTCAGAAGGAATCGACCTGAATAATAGAACTAACAGCAGTCAGAATTACTTGCTACTTTCCCAAGAATGTGACAACGCCAATTCTTTCCATCTTGAAATGGCTAGAGCAGGAACTCACCCAGCTTCCATGGGAACTCCAGAATCTTCCTCCAGACTAACAATAGCCAGTAAAAACAGTTCCTCTTCTCCATTGAAAGAATTATCAGGAAAACTAATGAAAAGTAAGTATATGATTTTCTTGCTTCTTTCTCTTTTTTTTTTTAACAAAGCAGAATTTATCTTTTTCTTTTAAGTGTTTACAAATTAGGGAGGAGTGCATAGAAAAGGAACCAGAGTCTACAGTGACTAGATCTAAGAAATGTGTTTGCAGAATTGACAAATGATGTAGGGTCAGATAACCTGCTTTTGTTTTTCCAAACTTGTAAATGAAGCCATTATCGGGGTGAGTTTTTTGGTTGATTGGTTTGTTTTAACCTTGATTTTTGTGGGGCATAGAAGTATGTAACTCAAATCCCAGTTATATGGGGGGATAAGGGCAAAAGGATCACAAGTTGGAGGTGAATCTGGGTAACATAGCACCTCATTTTTTTAAATTGTAGTTTTATTTTATATACTTTACTGATAAATTTTGTAATATAATTTTTATTCATTTTAATGAGAAAAAATGACAAAATAGCAGTGAAACAGCTTCAAAACAGCTAGTAGGACGTTCACAACAATCAATATGGGGCCAGAGAGATAGCTCAGTTGAATAAGCGCTTCCCTGGCAAGCGCAAGGGCCTGAGTTCAATCCCTGGCTCCACAAAAAAAAAAAAAAAGCAAAAACATTCAATACATTGCATATTGTTGTCTTCGCAGTAGTCACTCAGAGAACAAAATGCAGACGTGACATCTTGTCTAAACAATATTAGTATAAACTTATTCTCAGTGAACTAAGTAGCTGTATATGTACTCTAACTCTCCTGTGTATACATATATGTATTTTTTTATTTTTACTGATAAATTTTTAAAATTATTTTTTAATTGCTAGTAGCTGCTGCCAGTAGGTAATATTTATTGAGTTTTATGTTAACTGTATGTTTAGATTCTAATAGTTAACAATTATATGAGGTCTGTGTTATTATTCCTTTTACAATGAGAAAACTGTGACTTAGAAAAAAATAATTTGCTCCAGTTTGTAGAGCAAGTGATGGTGAATTAGATTATAGCTGAGACCTTTTGACAACAGCCCCTCTCTCTTTCCTTTCTCTCTTTTTTTTTTCTTTTTTCAGCACTGGGGATTGAACTCAGGACCTTGCACTTGCCAAGCAAGCGCTTATTTGATTGAGCTACCTCCCCAGCCCCTCTCTTTCCTTTCTCAAAGGATATCAGTTTAGAAATTACATATTCTTGTTCCTTATTTCTAGAATTCTAATTGAACAGCTTCTGTGGTGTTTTTCATTTATCTTACCTGTTCTCTGTGTATATGTGTGTGCACACAACACTGTGTGTTTCATCTCATATGTGCTTTGTCTCAAGGTGTTTTTTTAGATCTGTCTATTAACTCATTAATTCTTTGTAAATGTGATCAACTTTACTACTGAACCAACTTTAGCTTTTTTTTTTTTTTTTTGGATCAGGGTTTCGCTATGCAGTTCAGGCTGGCCTTGACTTCAAACTCTGAGTGATCTTCCTGCCTCAGCCTCCCGAGTACTAGGATATAAGTCTATCATATTACTTTCATTATAATGTTACTCAATTTTTCCTATTTTCTTTAAATTAACTTGATCATTTTTCATAGTTTATTTCTTTAAATTTGTTAAGTATATGTTCAGTGTCTAGTATACTCTACTATCTATAGTTTTGTGATTCTTGTTCACTGTTTCCTTATTTCTTCAGATCATACTCTTGTTTTCATTTTTTTAGTTGTATGTATTTGACACAGGGTTTCACTATGCAGTTTGGACTTGTAGTGATCTTCCTGTTTCAGCTTCCCCAGTGTAATCCCCAGGGATTACAGGAGTACCTGGTTTTGGTGGCTGGCTTGGCACCTGGGGCTGGCATGGCATGCGGTACTGGGGATAAAACCCAGGTCCTTGTGCTTGCCAGGCAGGCACTTAGATCACCGAATATCTCTGTAGCTCAACACACTCTTGTTGTGGTGTGTGATTTCACTGCTTTTTGGTTGTGAACATGTTCTGTGAAGTTTTACCATAACTCTGACTGAGCTTAACCAACCACTTGTTTCCTAAAGTTTTGTCTATAGGTGTTTAGCTCTGCTATTTAAGTAAGTTTTTTATTTTTATTTTTATTTTTTAAATGAGATTTCAAGTGTTGTTTACATTTGCTTTTGTCATGTACCTGGGACCTACCTCACTAGTCTACTAATACCACTTAAAACTCTCTCTCCCCTAAAAGTATGTTTGTTTGTGTTTGTATTTGTTTTGTTTTTTCATGTTCTAAATCCATGGGCACACAGTCATGGTCAGAAATTATTGAAGGAGACTTTTCTTACTGGTATCAAGACACTATTATTTGCCCATATGAGAGTTTCTTGGTTTAGTTTTTCTTTGTAGCTAACCCACCAGAGATAATACCTTTGGGATTCAGACCTAGGTATGGTTTTATCCTGATCTTTCTTGTTTGGGCCCTGGGCATCTGCCCTTTAATGAAAATACCAAGTTTCCAGAAGTTGGTGGGTTTTCTTTCAAGTGAATACCTCAGACTTTCAATTATTTTTTTCCCCTTGTTACTGGGAATTGAACTCATGACCTCACAGTTGGCCAGTCAGGCCCTGTGCCTTTCACTTTTATTTGTCTCAGTTTGCAGTGGTTCCCACACAACCCAAAAGCTTTGGCTAGCTAGAGTTATTTTTTTTAATGAATAAACTATGGCCTGACTTTTCTTTTCAGAATATTTTAACCTTTTAAAAAAATGTATTTGGTACAGGTTCTTACTAGGCAGCTCTGACTCATAGCGATCCTCCTCATTTCAGTCTCCCCAGTGCTAGGACTACAGGTGTGTGCCACCATGCCCAGTCGTGGTGGCTGGCTCAGCATGTTTAGGGGCAGGCTGGTGCCGAGGATTGAACCCTGGTCCCTGTGCTTGCCTGAGCAGGTGCTTAGTCTGCTGAGCTATCTCGCCAGCCCTTTTCTCCAGAATATTTTAACTTTTGAATTTTGTTTCTTTTATATGTATAGTACAGTTTATCAGTTTCTTCAGTTTTAGTAGTTTGTGGCTTTCAAGGAATTGTTTCATTGAATTGTCAAATTTATGATCATGTAATTATTTAAAGGATTCCCCTGCTATCTTTTAATCTGTGATTTGTAGTAGCATCCATCTTTCATTCCTGATGGTTGGTAGTTGTAGTGTTTTTCTATTTTCTTTGTCAGAAAGTACAGCGGTTTGCTGGTATTGTGGCATATGCCTGTAATCCCAGCACTCAGGAGGCTGACAGGAAGATCTTTGAGAGTTTGAGACCAGCCTGAGCTACAAAATGAATTCAAGACACCCTGAACTGCATAGCAAGACCCTGTCTCACAAAGACCAAAAGGAAAACTAGAGATGTTTGTTGTTGTTTTTTGAAGAAGAAGAAGAAGAAAAAAAGCAGCTTGTGATTTGATTTTCTTTTCTGTTGTCTTACTGTTTTCAATTTTATTATCTGTTCTTTATTTTTTACTGCTCATTTTGAGTTTGTTTATGTAAGAAGTGATCTCACTTGTCCGGAATAAAACAAAACAAAACTGGGTTCCAGAGGCAGCAAAAGTGAGGTTTTTAATCCAAACTCTTGCAATAGTGGTGCAATATGGAGACAGGTACACTCCCTTTGGGAAACTGTGTTGTTATTTTTAACCCACAGGAATTCCCTCTTGCCATGGCCTGTGGTCCAGGGTTCACAATGTACCCAGAACAATATTTCATCCCACACCTATTGTCCTACCTACATTACCTTTTTATCCCCTCCTCTTTATTTCTCTTCCATAGCACTTTTTTAGCTTATTGACTTCCTAGTATTGGAGAAGACTCTTAACTCTATCTAGCATGAGTCTTTGTATAGCCCGAGCATCTTTGTCTGCTAGTTGAATGAGCTAAGTCTTAAGAATGTATGTATGTATGTATGTGTGTATGTATTCATTTATTTGCTAACAGGGATTGAACTCATGACCTTGTGCCTGCCAGGCAGGTTCTCATTCAACTGAGCTATCTCCCCAGGCCTACGTCTTAAGAATAAGGGCTTATTAGAGCAGTTAATGAAATATTGTCTAATTACTATACTCTTGGTGGTTTCTTATGGTATGAATTTAGACGTGATTGGAGATGTTTCTAAGGAAAAACATGTAGAGCTATAAAATTTCTTTTAACCAGTGCTTTAGCAATATCCTACAAATTCTAATTTTTTTGTTCTTTTTTTTTAGTACAGCTGTGAAAC